TACATACTCCAAACGTTAAGTACTACAAAACCTTGTTTAAGATAGGTTATAATCAATCAGATACCAAGAACAGCTATGGGGAGGGTTTAGGCAATATATGTTAACATGGATGACTCTGTAAATAATGCAGTAATGGTAGACCTTGCAGATGATATAAACAAGGAAGATAGTGCAGATAGGGAGAAGAAGACACATACAGGAAGCAGAGAGAGAGAGAGAGAGAGAGAGAGGTGGCAGGAGGGGGTTTGTGGGGGAAGAGCTGTGAGATGGCAGAGCAGCCAAGCAGAGGACAGTAAGTAATAAGAATAGTGAGAAGGGAAAGGTGATTTGCAGCTGCAGCTTGCAGTGATATACCTAAATAAACTGTAAAACAAAGACCTGTAAAATAAAAGAGCTGTAACATTGAAGTTATCTGGTGCTGGTGATTGGTGTGTTAATCTTACATGTTATATACAAAAACCCAAAAACTTATTAGAACCCACTGTAACAAAAGTTGAGACCTACAATCAACTTTCTGGAGTTTCTTGTCTATTCTCTTAGAAAAGAGTTTCTGGAGAAGACAGGAAGTAGACAGTTTTATTTTACTCTATGAGAGAGAAGAGAGGGAAAGGTAACCCACTCCAGAAAGAATTTAGACTTCAACAGAGAGTAAAGAGAGAGCCCCATGAGATAAAGGAATTAAACACCGCAATTATAATGCAGGCAACTTCTGCATCATATATTTAGCAACTAAAGCCTAAAGTAATGAACATTATTTGTTTCATGGGACTTCTGACAGGTAAAAAATGAAGAACTACAGGGAGAAATAGGCAAGAGAATTATGTCCCTTTGAGGAAGACAGACAGGTACCTTTGGCAGTGAATTTTAGGAAACCATAAATTTTTAAAAATTATATTTATGGAGATAAATGATCAAATAAGTAGTCATCTTACTTGTCAAAGGTGTTTAAGACTTAAAGGTTCAACTCAAAGCCTAAAGTTAGAACCCATTTATAACTAGCAGTCATAAAGGCCCCGGTAATATTCTAAATATAAAGATGTCAGAGCAGATATATGTCAACTAGGGAAGAGAGGTGGCAACCTTGAGAGAGGAATCTACTGTTTTCCTCTTCATGAGGCTTTGCAAGGACCTTACTTCTCACAGCTCACATTATAGTCTTCCAGTTGCGTCTGAGGTCCACTTGATCTTCATATCATGGGAGTTAATTCCTACTACCCAAGAGATTTATTGGGTAGAGCTTCAGCCTTAGGCTAGAGAAAGGAATTGCTCTTTGCAGCAAAAGGAATATCAGTTCTCACTTCTCAGATTTCTTTCTTCCAAGGTCTGGAACTTCCTTTCACAGAAAAGGATTTCAGGAAGGGGATGGATAATCAAGATGAGTCAAGGTAAGTAAGGAGATAAATAGTCAAGATAAGTTTATTTGAGGAATATGGGAAAAGGAAAAGAACGTTTCATGTTCACGAGAGAATATGGATATCTCCAACAATTTGGGGATAAAGATATATATACGGATATTTTCCATAATTTCCTTGTGAAATTCTTTACACAAATAGGAGATAAGTGGGCTTTTCATGGGAAAAAGCACTAATCATCTGGTGGTTCTTTATCATGCTCATACCACAGTCTTTGTCCTTGCCATCATGATGCTTCTCCCAGGGATCCAGGTGATGCTCTGAACCTAGAATCATGCATCTTGATGGTTTTCTGGGCTCCTAAATTGCATGTTGTATCTCAAAGAACTTTGTTTCTTTGAGACACATTATCTTTTCCAATTTCTATTACCTGTCCTCAATCTCCCCAAGATCTCCACCTGCTACAATAGAATTTAAAGTTCTTTTCACTGACAACACCCTAGCAACAACTTAACTCTTATCTACGTAGAACACAGAGTTCAAAGACAGCTTAAGAAAGACCAATCAATATATAACGTTAACCCTAACACAGTCGGGGACATCATTTCTCTGGAGAGACCTGCGTTCCTTAAAAAAAACACACACAATCTTTTTTTCTACTTACTATTTGTCTTATAACATGTTTTATACAAAATCCTGGAACCTCTTCATCTGCTGTGGTCACCTGGGACATGCCTGAAAGAGATGTTGATATAAACTTTTCCTTTTATAGACTGTCTCACCATAACTCCTACCAAATCCAGGTGGGAAGGACCAGATACCATACCATTTTGATGAATGCCTTTCAGGTGCAGCTTGACAACTGTTTGAGACCTTAGTGTTCACTTTGTGAGAAAGTTTGTTGTTTTTACCTATCTTGATCTTCCTAGATGCCCACTTCATTTACAACATAATAACTCAATAGCCTTACAAAAGAAAATAAATGATGCAATATATCAGTGAAATATTGGGTTAGTCTTCTTAATATCTAGAGTAGAAGTTGGAAGAATGGACATCTGTGACACTGCACATTAAAAAAGAGCTACATCTATATTATTATTGGTGCTTTTGTTCTAATGAAAGAGAGAGCCCAGTGGGCTGGAGTGATAGCACAGCAGGTAGGGCGTTTGCCTTGCACATGGTCTACCCGGGGTCAATTCCCAGCATCCCATCTGGTCCCCTGAGCACCGAAGGAGTAATTCCTGAGTGTATGAGCCAGGAGTAACCCCTGTGCATTGCCGGGTGTGACCCAAAAAAGCAAAAAAAATATAAAAAATAAAAAATAAATAAAAGACAGAGCCCAGGAAAGCAAAGGAATTGCACACTCCACTTGGGATGTATCCTAACCTTGAAAAATAAAACTCAAAGTAATGAACAATATTTGTTTTGTTTTGTGTAACTTCTGTCAGAAAAATGGATAACCATGGGAGAAATAGGAAAGAGGATTTACAGTAGTTGCCATAGAAGACTGAAAGAAATATTTTATCTCAAACTACAATTTCCACTTGGCATTATTTTTTTCATATGACAGCCATTCTTTTAAACTTTCCAAAAGATGAACCTATAGATTTTGCCATAATCAAACTTATAGAAAAGGGGACAATATGTTTGAAGGAAACAGTAATATTGATGTTATAGGGTTTTCTAACCTGAGAGTTCTGATATAGGTTGATTCTCAACTGCATTCCCCTCATTCAGCATTTGTCCTTAGAGGGAAGGAGTGTGTGACTTCACAAAAGTTTTTAATTTAAATTGTCATTAAACCATAGTGCCATGCCTCCCCGGGAGGAAAAGGGTGTTGCTCCCTTCCGCCTCCCCCCCCCCCCACCTGCCGCCTGGCATCAAGGTGGCCACCACCTCAGAGCTTATAGGAAAGCCAGGAATGAGCCAGCAGTGACAGGGCAACTGTAGTCTCATGTGAGGGGGAGGCGGTACTGGCTCGTCCTTCACACCCTACCGAGGTCCTGAGTTGCCACCCCGAGCAGCTCTCCAGCACAGCCATAACACCAGACGCACAGAAACCAATCTCGTAATTATCTGGCTCTTTGCAGAAATCCAAAATTGCGTGGCCACAATAGCGGCCACGCAACATTATAAAATTCTCATAACCAGCTATAGAAAACAAAGTATTTCACAATGCCTTTTCAGCAATGGTGCATCTTTTGTCAAAATGATGAATGTAATCATTGTAGAGAAGAGTTAAGTAGAAATCATCTGCCTCACAGGAATTGGGTGGGGTGGGAGGGGGGTATATTGGGGTTCTTGGTGGTGAAAAGTGAGTACTGGTGAAAGGAAAGGTGTTTGATCATTGTATGACCAAGACTTAAACCTGAAAGCTTAGTAACTTTTCCCACAGTGATTCAATAAATAATTATAAGACAAAAAATAAATAAATAAATAAATAAAACTATGGGGGAAAAAAGTAAGGTGGAGTTCATGCCCAATTCAATCAACTAATCAGTGGCTGAATAAATAGCAGTACTCCTACATTTAAAATAAAATAAAAAAATAAATTGTCATTATGCCTAATTCTCTAGCACAATAGCTCCCCCATGTGTAGAGGAATTGACTAATGTCAGTATTGGGGCACTCTATAAGGAAAAATAAAAAATAAAACAAAAACCCTTTATTCTTGAAGAGTTTCAAGGTAAAAAAGAAAATTGCTGATATTTTCTTCAAGTAAATTAAGGAGTGTCTCATAATATTTATTAGAATTTCATATTTGTGTATGGTAGGCATGAATTGAGCCTGATAAAGATCTATTAGTGTTTTATTTTTAAAAAGTATCTCAGTGAAAATGTACTAGCAGGGGCTGGAGCTATAGTACAGTGGGTAGGGCATTTGCCTTGCATGCTACCAACCCAGGTTCAAAACCCAGCATCCCATATGGTCCCCTAAACACTGCCAGGAGTAATTCCTGACTGGAGAACCAGAAGTAACCCCTGAGCACACCCACTGGTTGTGACTCAAAAAGCAAATACATAAATAAATAGATTTAAAAAGAATATGTACTAGCAATTTAATAAGGCAAAATGTAAGTAAATATCATGATATAATGTTCAATACTTTAAAATATTCATTTAATATGGTATATGAACACTATTTATAACATATAATACAATAGCAAAAGACGTTACTTATGAGGCAAATAAATTGCAACTACAGGAAATAAGCTCCAGGAAGATGCAATAAATAAATTAAAAAACATTTCATATATATACACATATAAGATTGGGCTGGAGCAATAGCACAGTGGGTAGGGTGTTTGCCTTGCAAGCAGCCAACATGGCCAACCCGAGTTCGATTCCTCCGCTCCTCTCGGAGAGCCTGGCAAGCTACCGAGAGTATCTTGCCCACAAAGCCTGGCAACCTACCTGTGACATATTTGATATGCCAAACACAGTAACAAATGTTACAATGGAGTCGTTACTGGGCCCGCTTGAGCAAATCGATGAACAATGGGAGGACAGTGATAGTGACATATAAGATTGTCATTTTTTTTCTACTGATGGATCAGAGACAGAGAGAAAAATATTAAAGATACTGATCTTTTAAGAGTATCACTACCATCATAGCTGCACATTAATAAAAAACAATATCTAAGAAGGACTATCTTCCAATTATTTTTCTAAATGCTTCCTTCACATCCTTATTTCTCAGGCTATAAATAAATGGGTTCATCATGGATGTTATAACTGAATAGAAAACAGAAATCACCTTGTCCCCCTCATTCATTACCTTGGAATTTGGTCTCATATACGCAAATATGGCTGACCCATAGAAAAGGATAACAACAATGAGGTGGGAGCCACAAGTGGAGAAAACCTTGAGTCTTCCCTCCCCTGACTGCATCTGGATCACTGTGGAGATAATATTCCAGTAGGAAACAAGGATCAGGGACACAGGGGCTAAGAGGATGACCACACCCATGGCAAAAATGACCATTTCTGTGCGGTAGGTGTCTGCAGAAGCCAGCTTTAGAAGAGCGGGGGGTTCACAAAAAAAGTGGTTAATGACGTTGTTTCCTCGGTAGGGCAGGCACAAGGTGAAGGTGGTGTCCACCAGAGATACAAACACTCCACTGCCCCAGGACCCTAAGGCCATCAGTACACACACCCCATGAGTCATGATGGTGGAGTAGTGCAGGGGCTTGCACACAGCCACATACCGATCATAGGACATCACAGCCAGTAGGGCACACTCTGTACATCCAACCAGAAGCAAAACAACTATCTGTGTTGAGCATCCAGCAAAGGAAATGGCTTTTCTTTTTGCCAGGAAGTGGACTAGCAACTGGGGAACTATGGTGGTAGAAAAGCAGAGGTCAGCAAAGGACAAGTTCCTAAGGAAAAAGTACATGGGCGTGTGGAGCCTGGAGTCTATGTGAATGAGCACAATGATGAGCAGATTTCCCAGTACAGTCAGCAAGTAGATGGCCAGGAAAAGGAAGAAGAGCAGGACTTGTGTCTGAGGATCCTGTGAAAGGCCCAAGAGAATAAACTCAGTCACAGTCACGTAGGTTTGGTTTTCTTCTCCCATGAATATTTACTACTGTCTGTAGGTTAGTACCTATAAAGAAACACATGGTGGCCAGTTAAACAAGAAAATCTGAGTGCATGCATTTTACTAAGTAGTACCCAAACTGAGTAATTAATTTACACTCTTTATTTTTTGAAATTTAGTTTTATTTTGGATACTATGGTTTACAATACTGTTAATGGTAAGGTTGTTTTTTAAAAAAATTATTTTTTATTAAAACACTCGGGGGCTGGAGCACTGCGGGTAGGGTGTTTGCCTTGCATGTGGTCGACCCAGGTTCAATTCTCAGCATCCCATATGATCCTCTGAGCACCACCAGAAGTAATTCCTGAATGCATGAGCCAAGAGCAATCCCTGTGCAATGCCAGGTATCACCCAAAAAGCAAAATAAAATAAAATAAAACACTGTGATTTACAGTTGTTCATGATACAGTTTCAGGCATTTGTGTTTCAACAACACCAGTGTGACCTTCGTTCCACCAATGTTCCCAGTTTCCCTCCCAACCCCAATCTGCCCCCTTAGACACACAACAAGCTTACTTTATATTGCTTGTTTCAAAAATCTTTAAGAAATGGCAAATAGAATGATAGTACTGTAGCACTCTCTTCTCCTTGTTCATCGACTTGCTTGAGCGGGCACCAGTAACGCCTCCATTGTGAAATTTCTTGTTACTGTTTTTGGCATATCAAATACACCACCGGGAGCTTGCCAGGCTTGCTGTGAGGGTAGGGTACTCTCGGTAGATTGCAAGGCTCCCCGAGAGAGACAGAGAAATGGAATCTGGGTTGGTCACGTGCAAGGCAAACACCCTACCGGCTGTGTATTCCAGCCCAAATAGAATGATAAGAAAATAAATCAGTAAGAGCCAGTTTGTGATTGCTATATGATTTTAACACATATAAGTAAGGAAATTAAAACCAATGACTACAATATAATAAAGTGCCTATTCTCATTTGCATAGTTTTCCACTCTATAATCTAAAGTATATTGTATTAATTTTTATTTTATACTTGGATGTCATTATGGTAATAATCATGCATTACCTGTCATTAATAATTTTTTTAAATTTTGTGATAATATATTTTGGAATTTACATTAAATAGGTAAGGCCTATATATGTAGATTTCCCCTTTACTTAAACACTTTGGTCTACAAAGTTGTTCATGATGATTTGTTGCAGAAATTCAAGATTTCAACAACAATCCCACCATCATTACCATTTTCCTTCCTGTTGTCTCCAATTTTCCCAACCATAAATGGTAGGGTTTCTGTTATAAATCATTCCAGCACCATATTGTCCTGGGTGTCTGCTTCTCTACTCCACCACTGTCCCAGTGTCTTTACCCCATCTTATTCCTGCTTCCATCTCTACCTTAAAGACTTTGCACCCTTAATAGCATTTATGTGTCAGAAAACCAAATTACTGATTTTTAAGCAGTTCAAACAATTAAGTCATTTCTGATATTTTCCTTGAATATCAATAGGAACAAAGTCTCAGAAATCTTCAAATTGCCTCCTTTAAGTCTTCCTAACTCTTCATTTTATAATTCTCTTTTTTTCTTGCTTGTAGAAAAGATTGAACTCTGACCCAATTCTCTGTGCCTAGACTGCCTATTCACATATTCTTACTTGATGACAAGCTCATAAAGCTACACAATTTTAGGATTTTAATGCTAATATTATCTGGCAATTCTTTGTTGGCACCAAAACAAGCTAAAACACATTTCAAAAGGTATTTTAGATATTTTGTGGGCTTTGCAGAAACAATATAAAGAAATAATAGAACAAACATTTATGAATATGGCACATTATTATTTGTAGTTACTGTTATTGCATATCTTAAAACTTAAAAGTCTGGTACTACACAATTAATCTCATGTTTTATTGCACTAAAAATAATAAAGCATACAGTTTAGTAAAAACAATGCCTTCACAATTGTTGGCACAGTAATGTGTTCACTAAGAGACAATGAAGATCTAGTTGAAGAAAATGACAAAGAATGTCAACGAACTGGAAAGAGAGTACAGTGGGAAGGGCACTTACCTTGCGTACAGCCAACGGGGGATGAATCTCTGGTACCACATAGAATTCCCTGACTCTGCCAGGAGTGTCCCTGAGCACAGAGCCAGGAGTAAGCTCTGAACACAGTGGGCATGTCCCAAGAAACAAGAAAAAGTTAAAAAATAAATAAAGGTATTCAGATAGTGATTTTATAAGTTGAGAAATTTAGTTTAATAAATATATTTATCTCATCTGAATTAATCTACAGATCCAGTGAAATTTCTATCAAGTTTCAGAATATTTTTGCAGTAGAATTTAATAAACTTATTCTAAATTTTAATTTGTCCTAAATTTTGTTTAATTTAATAATTTTATTATATTACCATATTAGTGTATAGATAGTACATATCTTAATGTATAAAATGCATTACTAAATGAAGATATAAGATAATTATTTATTTATGTACATCTGACACATGTGTACATAAGTATATTCATACAAATATGTAATTAAAGTACAAATTCATTACAGCTGTGTTTATAACCTACTTTTTGAAATATTTTATTTCTATGGACACTGCCTACATATTGATATATCTATTGACCTATTTCTCTCTGCCTAGTAAGAGCTTTAATAAATACACATGTAGAGAAATCATAAACAAAATCTCTAAATTTAAAAAATCACACTTCTATATAGTCTAGGGAGACATAAACAAAATAAAGGGAAAAATAATTCTGAGAAAATATTTGTAAGAAATTACAACTTGAAAGTATTTCTAATGTATGAATACACAAATGTGTATTGATAATCCATCAAGAATTGGAAAAGCTAGATAAAATGATCCATTCAGAAAAAAAAATTGTATACCCTAGTCACTGTCACTGTCACTGTCCTCCCGTTGTTCATCAATTTTCTCGAGCGGGTCCAGTAAAGTCTCCATTGGAGACTTTGTTGTTACTGTGTTTGGCATATCGAATACATCACGGGTAGCTTGCCAGGCTCTGCCATGCGGGCAAGAGACTTTTGGTAGCTTGCCCAGCTCTCTGAGAGAGGCGGAGGAATCGAACTCATGTCAGCCATGTTGGCTGCATGCAAGGCAAATGCCCTACCGCTATGCTGTATACCCTAGTAATAAACTTAAATACATTCTTATAAAAATAGTGAAATTAGAACAGTATGGTATTTGAGCAAAAAGAGATACACCGATCAATGGTACAAAATCAAAATCCCATAAATAAATTTATATCATATTGTCATTAAACTTATGAAAAAGAAACCAAGAGTATATAATGAATAAGGGAAAATTTTCAAAAATGGTATTGGAAAAAGTGGATATCCACTTGCAAAAGAGAGAAACAATCTGATGCTATATGCCAAAATTTATTTAAAATAGATGAAAGACTTGGATATCAGATCTGAAACCATAAGATGCATGAAAGAAAGTATATACAAAATATTTTATAACATCATCTTCGATGATATCTTGGTATACGTCACAGCATAGAAAATAAAAACAAAAATTAACAATTGCAACTGTACCAAAAAATGCCCCAATGGGAGAAAAGTTCTGCATGCTAAAATCCAAATTATGCAACAAAATAACTACAAAAAACTGAGTAGGAGAAATAGACATTCTCCAAAGAAGCATATAAAACTACTTATTGTCACTTATTAGCAAATGAAAAATCAAAAATTCATTGATATATCATCTCATACCTGTGATATAGATTAAAAAGACCAAAAACAAATTTTGGTGGAATTGTGAAGGAAAAGTAACACCTGCATATAATTGGTGGGAATGTGAGTTGTTTTGATTTCTTGAAAATCAGTAATGATCCTAAAGAATTTAAGAAATATAGACTTGAAAAGATATATGCTCTCCAAAGCTCAATACAACTTCATTTATAAGAACTAAGACATGGAAACAACCTAAGGGTCTTATCCACTAACCAATTGGTTATTTTATTATATTGTATAACTATTTAGTTAGTTAATAAGAAGAACGTGGTGCTATATACAATGAAATAGTACTCAACAATAAGAAATTATAAACTCTTGCCTTTTAACAACAAGGGTAATAGAGAGTGTAATGTGAGATAGATTAAAAAGACAGACTATTTTCTATTTATGAGATGATCTATATATGAGATGATCTTATTCATATATGGAATATAAAGTTATAAACATGGAAATGAACACAAACAACCTTGAGTTCAGACCAAAAATATAAAACCAAATCTGAGGTTGCCAGAGAGGGAGAATATAGGGAACACAAAGCATCTAATGGATACAGTAGATGGTCATGGAGATATTTTAGCATTTTGGTTCTGGGATGGGGTGAAAAATTATTTTCAAATAAGTATGTAAAAGCATTCATGAAACATGTGCAATACTTCAAAACCAATATACATATAATAAACAAATATTACCTCAAAATGTTACCTAATTTATACATATTATATATAATAAAAAATAAATATATATTACATAACAGCAAGATGTCCAAAACAGGTTAATGTAAAACAAATCATAAGACTTTATTTGTAATTATCATCTTAATCTTTTAATTGAAATGTGAATGAGTATCAGTACATATGTGTACTTTTGGTATTTATCCTTCACTGAGAGAGGCCAATGTTCATGAATTGTTTCAGATGTAAGGAGACAGCAGCTCATTGGTTAACAGTTGATGTTATGCAGCTCAAGTGCTGAATTTGAATTCTGGCTCATTTTCATAAATAATATAGATTTAGTGTTTACGTACAGATTAAATAAAGTATAGACCATCCCAAAATTAGGAGAGTAAACAAAGTGAGTTCATAGTAATATAAATATCAAATCCTAATAATGAGTTCCTGATCTAAAATTTAATTGCAAAGTTAGGAAAATAGTTGCTAAAGATAAAGCCAGGTAATTCTTGCCTGCTAAGGAAGATATTACTAAGGAAGATATTACGCTCACTGTTTTCTCCCTTTGTGTTATTTTGCTCTGGT